ATTGAAATCAGTGACTTAACCTAGTAGACCAACAGATGTGAACTTATAACAACACCATTAACTTATATGACTACTTGATTCCAAACATTTTCAAGAAGATTATGAGTTATTTTTAATGCATATATACCCTCTATTATTTTCAAACATATTTGACTGCCAATTGTGTTTGTCACCTTCATAGTTCTAGGAAATAAACTGGAATGTATTAGATATGACTTAAAACTTCTCCAGTTTATGCCATATTTTTCGTTTTGGCAATCAGCAGATTCTGCATGCAGACAAGTCTCCATATCTTCATTTTGACTGTTGCAATATATATGGGAGACTGATTTAAGGTAATTAGTTGTTTATTCTTTGGTTGATCATCACTAATATGGTGACCATAATTTCTTTGTTGGGAGTAAAATTACTTTATTACTTTGCTATGAAGGTGTTACAAGAACAGTCTTAAAGTGGAATTATCACCTTTATAACTATAGGCATTTTTCTACTTTTTCGTGGAAAGTGTTGCTGTTAACCTGTATGTTTGTGGTAATTCTGAAACTAATCTAGATCTAGAACAGGTTACAGTGGCAGAGCAGGTTACTTTTTCCATATTTTTTGCTGTTCTGTAGGAATAATGATAAAGTATATATGTGATGTGTTCTGGGCTCTTGTATAAGCTATGCAGGTAAATTATATTTACCTAATAGTTCTGTACATGGAACCAGTTGGCTGAGTCTTAACGATGAATTTTGCTGTTGAGTTAGGTTTGAGACTTTTTATTTTTGTATACATAAACGAGTTCAGTCAAAGCAAATATGACAAAGAAGCTTGAGAGTGATATTTCTGGAAAAACATAATAACACAGGACCTTGGTTTCTGCTTACAGTTGAATTTAAAACTTGACAATGCTGAAGTAAGAGCATCAAAACTGCTTCTAGAGTCTCAATTATCCTCAGGGGCTCACATTAGTGGGTACAGTAAGTGGCGATCCTGAGGTACTTGGGCTACGCAATGCCTGGGGGTATAGCTGAGCCACCCTGCCTCTGGGGGATAGAAATTCAGAGGCCTTGTCCTCTAGGTTGAGGGTTGGGCGTGGGGTTTACAGCCCCATCCCAGAACAAAAAGAACTAATTGTACAGAAACCTAATGTGAGTAGTATGTAGATAAAGAGACACAAAGTTCTTCTTCCAGAATATTTGGTGACTGGTCCCCTCTTTGTATTTAATAGTCAAGAGTTGCAGCTAGTAACTGAGACAGTAGCATGAGATTGAATTTACTTTTTCATGAAAATGACGTATTTGAGTAGTCTCTGCCTGTATATGCCTGTTGTTCTTTCAAACATCTTCACTCACAAGATACGTTTGGTTGTGGTGAACTTGAAATGACATTTGTCACCCCACTAATACAAAATAATAAATTAGAGTATGTTAGAAATTTCAGGTTCTCATGGTGATGAGAATGTCTATTGTGATATTCTGAATTGTGATGCCATGGAGTCTTGTACATCATTACCTATGTTTTGGGAAACATATCACCTCCATCTTTAGGGTTAAAGGGATTCATCTATCAATGTCTGTAACCTAAGTAGCATAATCTGTGAAAGAAATACAACCAATTAGCTTGACCTTTACAATGTTTCTCTGAAACACTGTAACCACCTTGTGGACTACATTGTAACACTGCCCAGAAGACTGCAATAGAATGTAATAGATATGACTTTAAAAATTCCAATGGAAATTGGAACTATTCATTTTCACAGTCTATAGTGTTTACACTTAGGCAAGTTTTAGCTTATGATTATGTACCAATGTTTCTTCTGTCTTCGAGGTGTAAATGAGTAGGGTTATGATGTTTATGAATTATGTAGGGGTCGGTAGAGGGTCAGTCCAGGAAGCTCAGGATCACAGGTCATTCAGAACCATGGGAAGGGGACAGAAGATACAGCCCCATCTGGGCCAACAGGATCAAGGAACATAAAAACATTCCTTTTATACCCTCCAGATATAAAGGTCCTTAGAGAGAACCATCTTCCATTCCTTCAGGTTATGAATAGGAACATTCTATGGCTTACTCAGGAACTCCAACCTCTCTGCTCATGTATTACTTATTGATCCCCTTAAAATCCTGGTCATGTGTGTGGAGTTGTTGGCCAACATACTTGTGTCATTTAGCAGGATGTAATGGCCCAGACTGATGTTGTATTTGGCCGCATCTGACCTTATCAGATAACAGTCAGGAGATTAAAAAAATTGTTTTTAGGGCCAGGCCGGAGGAAACTGGGGATCATCCTTGACATAATGCCATCTTGATAGCATTCTTATAATGCCGTTGAAGGGATTCTAACTTTTATCATACAGGGATAGGAGATTTAAACCCCTATACTACAGGGCTGCAAGCTGGACTTTATCTCTGTGGTTAATTATTTAGAGCAACATGATCGAGCCGGTGGCCCATGGACTGCATCAAGCCAGAGACCACTTGTAACGAAGCCTGTAAAATTATTTGTTAAATTGACACAAGTTCACATATTTTCTTTATTGTGAAGGATTCTTATATTGTCTGTTGCTTAATGTGTGACACACATGCCACTGACTTTCACCATAAAATCCTAACATATGAAATGTAAATTTTTTCAGTAAAAGCTGTGTTAGATGCAAGGTCTTGCAGAAGTGAATTTAAAATAACATAGTAATTTGTGCTCATTTCAGTAAAATAGTGCTAGGAGGGATTTGTTGGCCCACCCTTCTTTAGAGATATGCTAGTGTGAGATACAGCCAGCTAGAGTGAACATTATCTTGAAGCATAGTCGATAAAGGCTAATATTAGATACACAATATTACTGCTGCGTCAAAAAAATAGAAAAAAGAATAAGGATAAAAATCATATGAACAGGATTTCATAATTTCTAAATTTTAAAAAAATTGCAACACGCTTCAGTTTTGACAATTTCTGCTTGTCTTCCATCTGTACATGACGCCAACATGCTAATCCAAGATTGAAAGAGTAATTGTCGGATTGTAAACTTACATTACCTAAAGGAGATGCTTTGTCTCCCTTGCTCTTTAACTTTGCGCTAGAATATGCTATAAGGAAAGTCCAAGATAGGCAGGAGGGTTTGCAATTGAATGGGACACATTAGCTATTGGCGTATGCTGATGATGTTAATATATTGGGTTAACGTGCTCGCCACTGGACCGAAGGTTCGCGGGTTCAAACCCGGCCGAGGTAAATGGATTTTTAAGGGTGATAAAAATCCGTAGCACAACTTTCTTTGGAAGGGAAGTAAAGCCGGCGGTACCGTGTAGATTTACAGGATGTAAAAGAACCTTACGAGCATTAACGAGACCGAAGTATCTCCTGATTCACTGCTAGATGGTGCTGGATGGCTCTGGCTTACAAATCAGGATTGAGTAGGATTTGTGCAGAGACAGTGGGCTTATCACTCATTACTCATAAATGCACACTTCAAAAAGAGACAAATAAACCTCCAAATGGGAGGAGGCCAAGGCTCGACTTCGGGCTGTTGCGCCATAGACTCAGTCAGTCATAAGTGCAATATAAAGGAATGCAGAAGTGTTACTAGAAGCTAGTAGAAAGGTGGAACTAGAAGTAAAAACTAAGTACATGTGTTGAGGAGGATATTTGGGCCTAGGAGAGAAGAGGATGGGGTGTGGAAATGTTAGTTAGTTAATTAATTAATGCAACCCCGTTACAATTTGCTCTTTGAATCCTAAATGCACGGACAAGCCTTGCCTGCGGTTCTTGTCACGAGCTTATTAACTAATAAATTACGTATTTTTAAGCGTATGTAAACTGGTAAGCCCTTCTACAGCCGGACAAATTTAATCGAAGACTGCTATGTTTCGGGAACAAGGTCGTTTTATTCTGAAGCCCACTGTCAAACCTGTTTATAGGCTTCTGTGTTGCTATCCTTGCTGTCGTTTCCTGATGGTTAGTTACTTTCAATCGTAGTTTGGTTTCTTGTGCATGCAAATCGACGATATAAGTTTCTGACACTGTCAATGCTTGTCCGCTTGTAAGTGTATATAGGTTAAAATAGGCACAGAAGCTGACACGCCTCTAACTCCTCACCTCCCCCCCCCCACACATTATTGCTAAACGAACCGTAGACTAATCAACATAAGAATTAATGGATTCACGTAAAAACTCGTATTCTTTTTGCAAATCTCTTGGTTTTGGCAATTCCTTCTCTGCAATAACCGCTATGTTTTAATGAAATGTTTGCTGTTGTTTTGTTGCTTGGCAACCGGCCAATGAATACAGTGATTACAAAGCGGGAT